ATATATATATATGTCCTAAAGAATATCCACATCTTAAAATTCCGTATGAAGTCAGCATTTCCTCCCAGGCGATAAATCAGTAGGTAACATAAACGGATCCAAGACGGACCCCCTCCAATAATCTGAAGCTTTCGCGAATTATTTCTAAAACTGTTAATGGTGCTTCTCGTTTTCCTATAACCGGATTTAGACTGCTGCAGCAATGGAAAACCTGGGTGGCAAGCGCACCAATGAACAGAATCGGGATCTTGCAGCAAAAACTGCAAGAACCCGATTCTGTTCATTGGATCCGCCTACGGTAGGTAATCTGTCGGCATAGAGCCCCGATGTCACTTTGATAATTTCACAAGCCAAGTGTTCCTATGCCAGATTTTCTTACCCTGACCTCTCTGACAGCCAACTGAATGGTAATTTCCCTTCTCTAGTATACCAGTTACTGATCCTTGACATGCACCGATTACTAGTACATATAACGCTCCCATTATTTCTGAGCCATCTTCCAGGAAGACGACTCGGACTTACGAAATATCAACACCTAAGTCTGCTTAAAACAAAATGCGAACGGGCACTGCGACAGCCAGCAGCAGGAGTGTGTTAAAGAGGGAACGGAGGGCGGAGAAAGGGGGAGGGAAAGCGAAGGGAGAGGAGGGGAGGAAAGCTGGCGGATGGGGGCGAGTTTGGGCAGCAAATCCGAAGAAACGCTCGTTTGCTCGGAGGCACTGTGTCCGAAGCAGTGCGCACGGATAGAAAACGCGGTCACTGAGAAGGGAGGGATACGGGTGCCGCTATCGATGGAGAGGGAGCCGAACGCAAGCCAAGCAGTATATCAGCTGAATCCGCAAATGACAGACGCGGAAAACGCTTCATGACCTGGAAAAGTACAGAAGGCGGACACCGGCAGTGGAGTGACAAAAAGAGGAGCCTCAAGCAGTGTAAGTGATAAAAAGCGATTTTTGAAGAAAGAATGAACCCGCACGATTTCCGGCCTCAGTGAGCAGCACGCCGAGGATGTTGTTGCGACCATCGTTGGCGCGGCCACTTCGCTGCTTGACGCCGCTGCCGCTGCCGCCGAGCCGACCGGACGCCTCTCCGCTTGTACCGCTTCAATGAGAAAAAAAGTGTTAGGCTACGCAAATGAGTGGCAAAGATCTGTCACAAGCACCGCAGCTGCACTAAACGAGTAGAACTAACACTCGCTTCGCATGCCCATCGTGAGGCACTTCCGCAGCCGACAGTACTGGCAGCGATTGCGATGGAACTTCGTCACCGGACAATCCTTCGTACCGCGGCACACATATCCTATCTGAAAGCAATCACGGTTACACGCTTCGCCAGTACAGTCTCCCCCTCCGCCTGAATGATTAAGCCAGAAGAGAGCGGAGTCAAAAGATGGGCAGCACCTGCTTCCTGATACTTCGCTTAAAGAATCCCTTGCATCCTTCGCAGCTCACGGCACCGTAATGCCTTCCAGATGCCTTGTCGCCACAGACGACGCATAGTTCCACACACATCTCGCGCACCGTCGTCGCGACACTCGTTGCGCAGTGAGGAGAGGAGGTGCTGCTTG